CCCTGGCGGCACAGGGGCTTGAGACACAGCAGAGGAGCTGTCCACAGCCTCTGCCATATGAGTTTGATCCCCAGCAGGCCAGGGAGCAGCCCACATGGCGCAGCAGACCTCACCTGTCTCCCTGCTGCTCCTGTTAGCAGTGAATTTCAGTAGTAGGCTGTTCTGTTCCCCAACTATCACTGGTGAATCCTCTCACCACCCACTTCTCTGGTCTATATCCCAGCTCTAGTATGCGTGAATGAATGTATCTTAAAAAAACAAAACAAAACACCTCACTTTATTTTTTCAAATGGTGGCAGCAAAAAACAAGGCTATGAGTTGAAGGGGGAGCTGGAGCATGGCGATCCCATGATTGCCACTGAGGAGCTGTCCTCCCCAGCAAGATTCAGTTCCGGCCACTCCAGCGCCTTTCACTTCTCACAGCCACAATCTCTCTGGCTTGGCCACTGCAGGTGTCCGGGCCCCAACCCAAAGCAACAAGGCCAGCGGCCTGTACCGCCGTCGCAGCCCAGGATCTCCCTTCCACTCAGTGGCTGCAAAATTAGGATCCGGACGCTTAGCGTGTTGCATGGGTGGGATCCAGCCTTGTCTGTGTTCCCAGGCGCGACTGCTTTGGAAGAGCCCAGGCCTGGAGTGGGTCTGCAGAGAGAGGAGGCAGTGGGGAGCATAGCAGGTGGGAACAGGGGAGGCAGAGAAGCCACAGTTTTGGGACTCCTCCTGGGTAGCTGAGCTGGTGAGAGGGGGGGTGGCCTGGCCAGCCCGAGGCAGAGCCGTGCTGAGGGGCGTTCTCATCCTTGTCCTCGTCCTCCCTGGGCCCTCCTGGTGGGGCAGGGGCAGAGTGTGGAGGTCGCGCCACCCCTGCTCATTCCTGCAGGGTCACAGGGGGACCTGCACCCTTTGGGGGCACCTGACACCTCCAGGCTCAGGACAGGAGATGCGGGAAGTGCGGGCTGGGGGAGTCCCTCTCTTCCGCCTGTCATTCACCATCCACCATTTGTCTTTTCGCCCTGACGTGGTCACGGAGCACGGTCCCCTCCGCCTCCAGGCACGTTGCTGCAAATGGCCCGAGTGTGTGTTCCGATGGCTGAGTAGTAAGTGCTCGCGTGTGCACAGACCTCCTGCTCTTGATCCGTCCCTGTGCTGGGGGCGTCGAGGGCGTTTCCGCGTCTGGGCCGTCGAGGCTGCGGAGCCAGCATTGAGGACAGGGCGCGGCGGTGCTGCTGCTTCCCAGACTCCTGACTGAGCAGCGCCTGCGGGCACCGCCCCCTCCCCGAGCGCCTTAACCGCGGTGCTGGCCGCTCACGCCGTCCTCCCCGCATTCAGCGCGGGCGCGCGTGGACGGCCACACCTGAGCCAGGAACGGGGCTGCGGGGCAGGAGCCGCCCTGGCCACAGCTGCAGGCCCAGCGCGGGCACCGCCCCCTCCTGGCGACTCCGCCCCGGGCCCGGCTCCGCCCACCGCGGGGCGTGGCCTCTGCTTGCGCCTGCGCGCTGGGTGCGGCCTGGTGGCTGAGGTCGCGCCCTTCAGGCGACGCCCTCGCGGTGGAGAGTCAGGCGGGCGCCGCACTGCCCCGCGAGGGCTCCGGGTGCGCGTGCGGGGCCGGGCGCGGCCTGTGTGGTGCTGGCGGGACGTTCGTGCCCGCCACCCGGGAGCCCCGGGTTTGTGAGCGCTAGGCCGATGTCCCCGTCACCCCGTCACCCCGTCACCCCGCCCCCCGTGGTCCGGCGGCGTGTGGGGTGCGGGGGGGCGCGTGTGGGGTGAGTGGGTGCTGCGAATGTGGGTTGCGGGGAGGTTTGCGAGTGTTGGGTGTGGGGGTTCCATGTGGGGTGCGGGGGGGTGCATCTGGGGAGCGGGGCGCCTTCCCCGAGAGTGGCGGCGCTCACGCCGGTTCCCGGGGCTCGCCCCCCGACGCGGGGACCCGGGGTGGCCAGAAGCCCAGCCTGGGCTGTGCCGCCGCTGCCGCGGGCGCGGTCCCGCGAGCCCCAGGTAGCGCTCGGTTGCGGGTCTGCGCGGCGGGCGCGGGCCTTGAGCGGGGCTGCTGTGCGCGGGCGGCGGGGCCGAGAGGGCGGGGCGGGAACTCAGGACCCTCGGAGGCGCAGTGGGGCCGCCTCGGGGGCAGCCCCTGGTCAGAGCCCGGTTAGCAGGTGCTGACCGCGCGGGGAGCGCTGAGGGCACGAGCGCGGGGCCCGGTGGCTGGTGGTGCGGCCCGGGGCGCGGACCTCCCTGCGGGAAACCCCGATGCGGCCGCGCACAGGGGATGAGAGAGTGACGGCGGCGCAGGTGGGTCTCCCAGGAGGACGCTGGTCTCGGCGGCCAGAGGCCTCCTGCCAGTTCATGGCCCGCCTGAGGTGAGGGGACGCCCTTGCTGACGAGCCCGTTCACCCGCCGACTGAGGAGAGCGCGAGCTCCCCTAGCAGCTGCCCTGCGAGGAGGCTGACTGACTCCCGGAGCAGCCGACTCCCGGCTCCCTGGCTGGCCACCCGGGCAGCTCACTGGCGGAGGCGGTGTGCGCGGAGTCCACCACCCGCCTATGTCGCTGCCTCCCTCGGGAACCAGTGGTCCTGAGCCCTCTGTGCCCTCCGCCTTCCCAGGATTCCTGCCCTGAGGGTCCTTGCTCAGCACACGAGGGGCCTCTCGGGGACTCCCAAGCCCTGCCAGGCGCCCCCTCCCGAGGACCTTCCCCCTGCGAATGCATTCCCAGCGGGAATATCCTAGGGCCCGGGATGGACTCCACGCCCATGCCAGCTTGTGTCTGGGCCAGGGGCGGCTGCACAGGCCAGCGCACAGGAGGGACGGAGACAGGTGACCAAAACATGGCCTGGGAGCTACACTCTCTGCGCTCAATCCTGGTAAGGCCTCACCCCCTCATGCTCCCTCATGCCCCAGCCATGGGGCAGGATGAGGCTTAGCAGAGGCATTTCCGGGGACCCGGGCGATCACCTCACTCTCTTCTGAGGGGAGGGATTTGTCCACACAGGGGCCATCTGTGGCCGGGTTTGCTCACCTGTGCAGCAGGGACCTCACACAACCCGCACATAGGCCATGTGGACAGAAGGCGGCTCCAGAGGCTGTCCAGAGAGACCAGTCTGCCTGGACCCGAGTCCCTGAAAGTCCTATGCCAGGCCAGGCTACCCCACCCTCCAGATGGGGCCCTGGTGTCAGGTGTGAGGACAACAATCCCATCCATTCAACCTGGGACCTGTAGTGGAGGCGGCTGTGACTCCTGCAGGCAGGAATGGCTCCTCTGTGTCCAGAGCCTTGACCTGGGACTGCGGCTGCATCAGCTGGGGGCGGCTAGAACACCCCACTGGGTTGCGGGCAGGATGACCCTCAGGACACAGCCTAAGGACGAGGCAGGGGCTAGGGCTCCAGTGGTGGTCAGGACACTGGCTCAGCAGGTGCAGATTTACCAAATTAGAATTTCCTTACAAGGATCAAAGCTGTTCCTGTCTGCCCCTAGGACCAGGGGAACTGGGGTTGGGGTTGGCCTGTCTGGGCCACGTAACCAGGAATGATCAGGTGTTTCCTGGTTACACGACAGGGTCCTGGACAGCAGTGCCAGGGAAGGACCAAAGTCCCGGGCAGCAGGAAACGCACAGACAGCATCATACAGACCCAAATGAGGAAGGTGCTTGCTCCCCCTCCTCCACTGAGAGGGCCCCTCTGGGTGGTGACCCCCCTGGGGAAGATGGCAGAGCAGGGTGGTTGAGGGGAGGTTGTGGGGGAGGAGCCTGAGGCAGGAACTGACAAGACCCTGTTTGTGGTACCAGGACTGAGGACAGGGTGAGCTCACTGGGAACTTACTCTGCACTCACAGCGGCTGGAATTGAAATTTGGAAAATACACACCTGAAGGGCTTTTAGCGATGGGATGTAGTAAATTCTCATTTTTTGTGCCTTAGGTATAAATGTTCTGGGAAGACCATCATGCGAGGCCGAAGGCTTTGGGGGTGAAAGGACGCACCAGAGACAGAGTGGATAACACAACAGGTAGATGTGTGGAAATGCTTCGCTAAGAGAAGCAGCGGGCAGGAGGGGAGACTTCTGGGTCTCAGTTTGATTTCTGACTTCAGTAGGCTTTGTCTGACTTGGGCAGTCGGTCCTTGCTGGTTGTTACCCATTGTGGCATCAGGCTTTCAGTCAATTCTCCCTTTAGGCCACGTCTGGGGTTTGTTTGCCCTGATTCCACCTTCTCTGGAGCTCTGGCAGCCTTTGGCGTGTGTGCACTTGATCTGGCTCCCTACTTGATGTATCTCACTCCCTTTCTTATCTCCTTTATTTTCCCCAGCAGTGTTCTGCTGAGCATGATGCAGAGACTAGCTTTTAATTTTATCAGATGTACCCCAATAGTAAGGGGGGGTGCGAGTGCCTAAATGAGGCTGTGGTGAGCTCTGAGAATAGAATGAGGGCCTCCCGGGTGGCCCAGTGGGCTGAGTTCAGCGCTGTGACGCTGTCTCCAGCCTCTGTAGCGCGGGTTCTATTGCCGGCCGGCCAGGGAGAAACCCACATGGCGCCGCAGACCTCTCCTGACTCACCCGCTGCTCCCCTCAGCAGTATCTTCGCTCCTTCTGCCTGGTCTGCTTCCCGCTCTGTTTCTGGTGAATTCTCTCACCATCCCACCCCTCTGCCTGTACCCCAATTCTTGTATAAATAAATAAATCTTTAAAAAAAAAAGGAAAAGGATGACATTTCCAGGTTAAAACAGCAATGTTGTGTAAACAAATTTCAAAAAAGATGGAGCAATTGTAATGGAGAAATGTAAAGTGCATTTCTAATGTAGGATTACTGTTTACATCAATGGAAAAGAAGGTAGCATATATGAAATAAGGAAAGCAATTCTGTTCCGCTCAAATTATCGATATTATATTACGCTGAAAGACGAATTACAACTTTTAAGATCAAGTAATATTATTTTGGCCATGGGATTTTTGTGAAGACTTATGGTGAGATAATAAAATGTTAGTGGTAAAAATATGTACTTATTTTAACAATTAAACAATTGTGTGGCAGTATCCACACCTCAGACAATATAAACTTTATGAAATGTCACCGTTTTCATGAATGTCATCAGTACTATTTGTCATTTTTCTGAAATTACAAATTTCAAATACATGAATAAATGACGTGATTGCCTTTAGGTGAACACTGATACAGGTGTGTACATTACACCTGCCCAGGCCACACATGGCACGTCACACACATCATACCAGACACACATCCGAGATCCGCCTGGGCACATGCGGGAACATAATACAGTTGTAAGAATGTAAGCATCAGGAGCTTTTCTTCTTCCTTTGTGGCCTAATTTGTGCAAGTAAGAAAGTGTATCACGTGAGCTCAGATATGTACAGACAAGTCTGTCACAATAAGTGCTTTGAGTCGCACACTGTTGAATGGTTCATATTTTGCGTGAGCTCCACGCTGTACATTCAGAGCAAGCTCTATACACGTCCCTCCTGAGACAGGACACACGCCCTTAGCGCCTTGAACACACAGGGGATCCAGCTCTTTCCTTCCAAGTGCATCTGCCCCGGTACCAAGTTTCCTAGCACCTCCACCCTTTGAGACAGACCTCCAGTCTGTGTCTTGCAAAAACGCTCACATCCCCTTCACCGTGGGAGAAATCTTGCTCCTGCACACCCCAGGCCACGCAAAGCATGTCTCCTTGAATTGTCACCGTCACCCTCTGGTGGCTGAAACCAGCTAAGCTGTACTTCTGTGTCTGCTAGACGCAGGCCATCTGTCCGCAGGTCTACCAGAGGATGCTCCGGCACGGAATCTCCTTCGCATGCCCTTCTCAAATAAGAAGAGGGTGGAATGTGCAAGACTGAAAACTGCTCCCGATGCCTGACTCGCTGCCAGGGTCTCCCCTCAGGACAGCTGACTCCAGCTCCAGGGCTGCCCTGCACCCACCGTGCCATTTTCCTGTGAACTAAGCTCCATGCCCAGATGTTCCTACGACTTTCTGTGAGAATTAAAGTGACACAGGTGAGGCCTTTCCACCATTCCAGAGAGTGTCAGGCCCGCATGCTGTCTCACATACATTGCGAACCATCTGGAGCAAGACTGTGTTCCTCACAGGAGTATTAGGGACCCCTGTACAGACCTCGTTACAGTGACTGGTCCCAGAAACACTTGTGAAGAGGCTGCTCCGCCTGTCCATAAACCATATGTCACTCACAACTGCATTTAGGACTGGGGGTGTAGAGTAAATTATCAAATGAATAAATGACCGTGCACTCACATGCGGTTTACATATTTCTCGAGGGTTTGTGGCATTTACTATTACTGATCAGGGCAGAGGGCAGCATGGACACCTTGGGTTCCCGGCTCAGGAGCAGAAAAGGACAGAGAGTCGGGAAACACAGTTCGATTACTTTGTTGAAGTTAAAAAGGAACCACTCGGGATTATAAGTAACAGCCACAGCAATCTTCAACATGGAGGAAATGATGTTACAGCAGACGAAGGTGCTCACCAGGAGCAGGATGGTGTGAGTGGCCCTAGACTCGGGGGAGGACGTGGAGGAGGCGAATCCGTGAAGGTGCCAGACCCGCCGCCTGTGCCGGGACAGGGTGTAGACCAAGGAGGCGCTGGCCCCGACCATGGTCACAAAAAACACAACATCGGGGAAGGAGAGCAAAGCCCCGTATAAGAAGTCACTGGCTGGGTCGTGACGAACAGTGGAACACTGTCCATACCTTTTCCTGCCTGTATCATTTTTGTCACTCAAATTGCTAGCCATGAACACAGCAATGATGGAATTTAACAGCAGGCTCAGGACCCAGCACAGGGCAATGCAGGGCATAACGTACCTGGGAGCTTTCTCTCTCAGCCCTGCCCACCTGGAGCCCCAGGCGCCGATGGTTATGGCCTGGACCACACTCAGGAGGCAGGTGGTGCTGATGGACACGCCTCTGCCCACGCCAACAACATAAGGGAGAAACTTGCAGCTCAAATCACTGCCTTGATACCACCCAGCAGATGTCAGTGGATAGGAGATACTGCTGGAGCACAGGACCAACAAATTGACCATAATCAAGTTCTTGACAATCAAAGCTGTGGCCCTCGGCCTACACCCATGGAAAGAGAGGAAGAGCTGATGGGAAAGAAGGAAGAAATTCCCCAGGATCCCGAGTCCAGCTAGTAAGAACACGACTGTCACCGCCACCCAATCCCGGAAGTCCATCCTGTCAGTTCTCAGCAGCTGACAAGGGCCTCCTGAGCAGGAGGACCCTGCTGGGCAACCTGTCAGCTGTTGCCCCCTCCTCCCTCCCCACACAGCTCCCCCTCCGGGGTGTTCACTGAAAGGCTCTCAGTTATTCAGAGACTTTCGGGGGCTGAACGTACACCCAGGACTCCCCGTTGCAGGGATAGCTCAGGGAGGCTGACTGCCTTCCTCACAGACTGCCGAGGCGGCGCTGTCCCGTCCTCATGGAGCAGAGGGCGCACAGGCACGGAGAGGATGCGGGTCCCTCAGATTCACTCAGTGGTTCCGGGTGGAGTGGCGAGCTGACCTGGCTGGGCGGGGGACGACACAGGCCACTGAGCCCACACTCCCCAGGGGGCTCTCCGCTGAGTCCTCAGCTCGACCAGAAGCTGACTGACCCTGCGTGTGTCCTGCCATCCAGGGCAGATTCATTTCCCAAGACGGGTCCTGACAAGGTGGCACTGGCATCTGCTTGTGCGCACAGGCTTCTGGGGCGGGCTCTGTGGCTTTCATTCCTGGGCCACGAGGGAAGGGTCCCCTCTCTTTCCTCATCTCTGTCCCTCTCTCGCCCTCCCCGTTCGGGGACACCTGCACCTCCTCCCTCTTGGAAGAGATTCCAGCCCGTCTGTGAGACTGTCGGCCTTAGTAGACCTGCCACCCTCAGGCCCTCCCCAGCTCCGGGGACACTCAGGGTGTCTCTGTGAAGGTATTCTTCAGGCAGAGCCAAGCTCCAGGGGTGTGAATAAACTGGGAGCACCGCGGGCAGGGAGGGCAGAGCCGTCCCCCCACCCCGGGCTTGGGAGCCCAGAGCCGCCAGGAGCCTGGAAACAGCCCGTCTGCTTTCACCCCGGGAGCCGCAGGCAAAGGCCTGAGCCGGGACGACGGGCCCCACACCCCGTGTGATAAGCGTGTGAGGGCACGAGCTCGGCCCCGACGTCAGATCTCGGGCCCAACCGCTGAGGAGAGTCTGACCTTCACCTCACGGTGAGCAGAGAGCCGGGCGCGGCACAGGGGTCCAGGCCGCAGACGCGCCGGGGAGGGGAAGCCACGGCCCGGGGAGCAGAGAGGACACGCACCGTCCCGGGTTCTGCCCCCGCCGCCACGAGCAGCCCCGCGAGGCTCCTTCTGAAAGGGCAGGTCAAGGGTCACGTTGTCTCTGTGGTCCAACAGGCCCCGACATCGCCTCCGCTCTGTTTCCTCCTGCGCGCCGCTTTGCCCGCAGTGAGTGGACGGTTCTCTGGGCAGGAGACGGAACAACGTGCCCGCGGCGGCCTCACCCGCTGTGTCGGGGACCGTCTCCTCCCCCCCGGCTCTCAGACGGGCTTCCTGCCGGGACCAGAGCCCCGTGCAGCCCTGGCCCTGTCTCACCTGCAGAGAGGCCCCGAGAAGCCCCATGGCCCCGGGCATCAGGCCAGGGCCCCTCCTGAGGAGGCTGAGCAGCAGGAGCCCCAGATCCACCACGCTGAGGTCAGGGGAGTCAGGGTGCTCCTGGGCTGCAGGGACCCGCAGCCTCCTGGGCCTGAGGGCCTGAGCAGAGCACCAGGTGCCCTCAGGGTTGGGGCATGCACCCCGCTGTCTTCACTAGCTCAAGGGGTGCCTGCCCAGGTCTGGCTCCAGGAGCGGGTCCCCTCCTGCCCGTGTCCCTCCTGCACCCCTGTCCTCCCACTCCCGCCCCCGTGAGCACAGAGGAGACTCACCGGCTTCCTGCCGCCCGGGCGCTGAGCTCAGGGAAGGGCTCAGCCTGCATCCTTCCGCAGGGTCCAGCGCACCCCGAGATATAGTGCGTGCCACTGGGACTCCACCTCACAGCTGCAATTATCGGGTCCCAGGAGCTGCCCGGGCAGTGACAGGCCTGGGAGCTCAGAAGAGTCGGGAAAACTTTTCCTGCTGCTAATTGCGAGGAATATTTTCAGGGTCCTCAGCGGCTGTCCCAAGTTGTGGGGCTTTGGGGAGACCCTGCTTCCCTGGACCTGGGGTAAACAACACAGAGTAAACACAGTAAACAGCACAGACTGGGGGCCTATGGGACAAGGGGCGTCCGGGGGAGGCTGTGCTCACTGAGAGGGTCACCCTCGGGAGTCTGACTCACGTCACCCGCGGAGTGCAGCCTGCAGGGCCTGCTGGGCAGAGACCGGGAGGCCCAGACCCCAGGACGTGAAAGCCCTCAGGTCCCTGGCAGTGATGACACTGATGACATTCATGGGATCGCCCTGTTGCCTCTATTCAATACCGTCACACCTAAGGTATTCAGAAATCTAAGGATTTTCTCCAGGACAGCTGGTTCACAGGCGACCGTGCCGTCTGGGGACTGTCGGAGCAGCCAGGCCACGTCCTTCCCAACACCCGAGGCCAACGCTCTCCTCTGAGTGTGCAAGTTTGCCAGTTCCAGTCGGGGCTACCATTGCTTTTCTGTTCAGGGGGATTTTTGTGATGCGTGAAAGAAAATCCCCTTCCTTGTGGGGAGGGGTTGGCGGGTCTGGACCTGGTTCCTGAGCCATCCCACTCCTGGGCAGAGGCTGAGGGAGAAGGTGGACACACCCTCTACAGGCATTGACAGCGAGACATCCACCCCCAAAGCCTCCCACCTCCATCCACACGTCACACATCTGTGCACCCCAGGGCACCCGGCGCACACTGACGCGCTGCACAGCACACACTCGTCCCCGGACCCAGAGCTCTCTTCACGAGGAGACGCTCATCTTCACAGGCACCCCAAGTCTTTATCTCAATCCCGTGTGACTCAACACCTGGCTTTGGCTCTGGGCTGTTCTCCCTGTGAGGGGTCTGGTAGACACACTGCCCTGGGCCAGTGAGTCGCCAGAGGAGTCGGGTTAGCCCGGGGGATGCCCAGGGTGGGCAGGACCCACAAGGTTGAGGGTGGGTGGGAGAAGGAGAGGTCGGCATGTTGGTGATGGTGCCCGAGGTTCAGAGGCTCACGGGTGCTGCACCCCCCCTGCAGTGACCCTCAGGGCTAATGGCTGTTGCCATGGTTCCTGAGGTCCGGCGTGGGCAAGGAACCATGCGCGCAGGGGGAGAACAGCAAACTCCCTAAGATGCAGAGAAGCCGAATGCCTGCCAAGAGATAACGACCACCAGAAGCTGCCACAAAGATGATTAAAAGAAATGCTGACCACCTGGAACCTTATCTCGCTTTCTCAAGGCCCACAAACTTTATTCTGCTACAACTGTCTCTCTAAAATCTTTCCTTTTTTCTGGTCATTGATTGCTAATTAAAAAACATACCTAATTTAATAATTAGGCTAATGCAAATGAAACATTACTAAACACTGTGTTATAATAGAATTGTTAGTTTAATAATCTTTCTATTATGTGCTTAACTTTAGTACCTTTGATATTAACTGCATTATAAAATAAATTCACCCATGACAATTAATTATGAGTAAAAATGATAGTGCAACTAGAAAATAATTATATAAAACAGTAGAAAGAATTTATAGCCTGTCCAATTAGGAATGAGGCTAGGTCCAGATGTAACTTGGGACATAAATCACTGCCCTGTCAATTAAGCTAAGTCTATGAGCAAACTGATCTCTTTGATGTTCACTGTTCCTATGCTTTTAGAAAAACATATATATACTGACCACTAGCTTAATAAAGACGCACTCAGATTTTCACTCTCTTCAGGTGTGTCTGTGTGTCATTTATTCATCGAATCCCTGACCACCCTGCGCAATCTCTCAACCCTGAGACGGCCTCATCGTCCATCGCTGTGCTGGTCCGCGGCACACGGGGGACACCAGTCCTGAGCAAGGGTGTGTTATACCAGGAAGACCTGGCCTGTGGGCCTGGGGCTGCTGAACTGGGTGGAGACCAGGTCAGGGAGGAGGTGGACAGTGGGCTGTGCAGACACAATGATGTTGGAGGGTGGGCAAGTTGCCGAGTGATTGGCAGGCGCCGGATGGCAGAGAGGGCACAGCATGTGCCGGGAGGGCGCTCTTGGGGCTCAGGTGTTGGTGCCCGGGTGGGGACTCCTAGTGTCAGTGCAGGTGCCGGGGCACAGACCAGGAGGCTCAGGAGCGAGAAGAAGCATGAGGGGCAGAGCATGGACGGAGCAGCACAGTGGATTTTTGGGGTGGAACGTGGATAGTGGCTTGGGGCACCCGGGGAGAGCTGATACCTCATGGGCATCCAAAAAGAACAAAATTAACACTCAGTTTGGGCCTCCCTGGCGGCACAGGGGCTTGAGACACAGCAGAGGAGCTGTCTGCAGCCTCTGCCGTATGAGTTCGATGCCCGGGAGGCCAGGGAGCAGCCCACATGGCGAAGCAGACCTCACCTGTCTCCCCGCTGCTCCCGGTAGCAGTGGATTTCAGTAGATATGCTGTTCCGTTCTATCTCTGGTGAATCCTCTCACCACCCACTTCTCTGGTCTATATCCCAGCTCTGGTATGCGTAAATGAATGTATCTTTAAAAAAAAAAAAAAAAACAAAAATCGTGCTTGCTTCGGCAGCACATATACTAACATTGGAACAATACAGAGAAGATTAGCATGGTCCCTGCGCAAGGATGATACGCAAATTCGTGAAGCGTTCCATATTTTTCTCAGCATTCAAAAAAGATAAACACATGCAATTTGCAGCTACATGGATGGCGCTGGAAGGGATCATGCTCAGCGAAATAAGCCAAAAAGAAAAAGAAAAATACCGGATGGTCTCACTCATAGCAGGAATCTAGAAAACTTAAATAAGGGACCAGGAAAATGAATAACTAAGAAAGTGAAAATCAAAATCAACAAAAAACTATGAACCAGAGACACTCTATGGGGGGTAGGGGGTGGGAGGGGAGGAATTGGGGTCAAAATAAGGTTGTTGCAATTGTATGGGGAATATAAAAATAAAATTTATTAAAAAAAAAGAATAAATAAACAAGCCAGGGGAAAAAAAAAACAACCCTCACTTTATTTTTTCAAATGGTGGCAGCAGAATACAAAGGCTATGAGTTGAAGGGGGAGCTGGAGCATGGCGATCCCATGATTGCCACTGAGGAGCTGTCCTCCCCAGCAAGATTCAGTTCCGGCCACTC